GTTTCAAGACTTTGCTGGATTGAGGCCAGTGTGCTCAGCATATTGCAGAATGAAGCCCAAGGTAACATCAGGAGAGTGCTGGAAGAAATCAGTGATCTGAATGTGGAACTAGAAACCATAAGCCAAAAGGCTCACTGGAAACCCAAGCAGGGCTGTCTTTACTATCAGAGTGGTTGAAGGGCACTAAAATAGACATCTACATTGCCTCAGTATGCATAAAACAAAGAAGCTCAGAAAGTCACTTCCTGAAATGATCAGAAATAAGAAAAGATTAGATAATAAAAAAGTAAGATAAATATGTATAACCTTGGAAAAACTGAAAGAAATGGTAGAAATAGTCCGATAATGTGTAGCAACCTGCCACAAGTCCCAGCAGTAATACAAATGATTACTGGGTAGAAAAAAACATCTACTGTTTTACCAGTGTGAAACCTGTTCCTAGTCACATGGAAAAGTCCAAATTAATTTAGAGCTAGGTTGATGAATGAATTCATATTCTATCAGGAAAACTTCATGAACAGAATGCTAAAGCTGAAGATTTAAGCTTTTATAACTAAAGGTCTAAAATACATAAGCTTACTTGCACATCTTTAACTCTTTCACCCTTGTGTATTCTATGACACAGGACTTAATGGTATGATTACATGGGGTCATCATTATTCACACCAAGCAATGCCTTAACTCGGCAAGTAGTTCCATGAGAGTGTATCTACACATAGTCTAGAGTAGGGGTGAGTAATAAAAAAAAATCAGCTGCCCTCCAGGGTTAGTCTGCTATGTTGCCTGTGCTTCCACAGGTATCCGGTCAAAAAAGAGCTGCCAGGGATTAACCTTGTGGACCAGATTCAGCCCGTGGGCTAGAATTTTCCCACTCTGATCTAGAATGCTATTCAGAGCTAGTAAGGAAATCATGATCTGACCGATATTTTTTTTCTGAAAGAATATAGTATCTTGTACAATTTTTCTTCAGGCAAGTTTATAATATGCTTACAAACTTGCAGCACACACATCACTACCATGTATATATCTTATATTACGTGAAATATTTGATCAATGCTGTATAAGTTTATGACAGAATAGTCTTGCACAAGGTAGGTTAATGAAAGGATCAAATGAGTAACGTATGTTATTGGCTTAAAATGCCTTAAGGAGAGAGAGGAAGTTGGAACCCAAGACATTGGGTTGCATTCTCCTTTTTTTCTTCCAATAACCCTTATCTTGTAAAAACACAGTATTCTCTTGGAAAGGGGAGGGGGATCCATTATAGTGATGTTTTGGTAAAGGACTGATTTTGTGCTTACATAAGAACTGCCATATTGGGACAGACCAACGATCCATCTAGCCCAATAGCCTGTCTTCCAACAGTGGTCAATGCCAGGTGCCCCAGAGGGAATAAACAGAGCAGGCATACACCAAGGCTGTGTCTACACTACAGGGTTCTTGTGCAAAAAGAGTCTATTGCAAAAAACACAGGTGCTCTGATGGCCATTCTGTGAATGGCAATCAGAACTTTCTTGCGCAAGAGCGTCCATGCAGTGTGGACACTCTCTTATGCAAAAGCATATTGCTTTTGTGATGCGCTTTTGAAGTGTGGATGCGCTTTTGCCCAAGAAGTTTTTGCAGAAGATCTCTTCCGCAAAAAACATCTTGCGCAAAAACCCTGCAGTGTAGACAAAGCCCAAGTGATCCATCCCCTGCTGCTCACTCCCTGCCTCTGGCAAACACAGTCTGGGGACACTATTCTTGCCTATCCTGGCTAATAGCCAATGATGGATCTATCCTCCACGAATCTATCTGGGTCTTCTTTTAAATCCTATTGTGGTCATTATGTTCATAACATCCTCAAGGAGTTCCACAGCCTGACTGTGCATTGTGTGAAGAATACTTCCTTTTCTTGGTTTTAAACCTGCTGCCTATTATTTTTATTTTGGGATACCTAGTCCTAGCGATAGGAGACAAAACAGGCAGGGGTTTTGGAACTAGAAAAGGCAATAGTGTTTACTTCAGATTGTGAAACTCCATTTTGAGTCACAAGAGGAAGTGGCTTGGTTAGAATCAAGTACATGTGGAGGAAGGGCACTAGTGGGTTATTTAGCCATGAGGAGGAGTGACTCTTGTTTGGGAACTCAGTTGGGGTGTTTAGTTTAGCTGAGGAGTTTGTTTTAGTCTAGAAGTGAATCATAGCTCAGAAGCTCACTCCTGCTTGGAAGTTTAGTATAGTTTGGAAGCATGAAACAGCCTGGGAATTTAGCTCAGTTCAGAAGCTTATTCTAGATTTTGGAGCTTACTCTATCCCTGGGAACCCATTCCTATTTTGAGAAGGTTAATTTGGATTGGGAGTCCAGCTCCACCTAGAAACTAAACTGGCACAATTCAGTTAAGGATTTCAGGTAAAAGTTTTTTAACCTAACAGGGGAATTATAGGTTTATTTCTTATGAAGCATTTTGCTAAGTTAAATCTTGATATTTTTAATGGACGACTTCTAACTCTTTTTGCTCTTCTTCCTTTGACTTCACTTATGAGTCTAGGATTCACACCTCTCATGCTAGAACTACAGTATGACAATGTTGAAGGAGCCTTATGGGTCTCAGTTAAAGTTGTTACTGAAATGCATAAGGTGAATTTTCATGTGGCATTTTATTCCTCAGTTGATTGTTTGAACAGTACATGTATTTATTACCTTAATGGGCCATTTCCAGTGGTTTCAATTTTTACATTTACTTTAAATGAAATATAATATAATGTTGTATTTTGCACTGGGGTCCCAGGATCATATTAAATTACTTTAGCAACCTGAGCTCCGAGGAACCATGAAAACTTAAATTAGGTGAATGGAGAGCACTACAGAAGTGCACAGTATTTTCTACAGTGCCATGTTCCTAAGAATTCTCATAGAAAACTTGATGTGCTAGTCTAGATGTCCCAGGGTCTCATCTCCTATGCACTCACTAAGAATTACCATGGACCTCCTAATATTCTCAGAAGAGTAACACTACTGCACACTTTCTAAGGCAGGGGTGGGTAAAGGGGCCTCTGCGGGCCGCATCTGGTCCACCAAGCCGGTGGATCTGGCCCGTGGCCGCCATGTTGCTTCCCCACCCTCAGGCCAATCAAAACCTGGGGACGGGAGAGTGCACAAAGTCTCCTTCCCCAACCAGGGTGCACATCATCAGAGGGAACTGTTGGCTGTTTTAAAACCTCCATTCACTCCTGGAAGGGCAGGGGCAGGTGGCAAGAGACTTCACAAGTTCCCCCGCCCCAGGCCATGATTGGCCTGAGGGCAGGCAGAATGAACAAGGTCTCCTCCCGCTGCAGCACCTAGAGGGAACTGCTAGCTGTTTTAAAAGAGCTGGTGATTTTCTGTAGGCACTGAGGCAAGGAAGGGGCAAAGACTTCACACACTCCCCCACTCCCAGGCCAATCAGGGTCTGTGGGTGGGGAAGCACAAGAAGTCTCCTGGCCCATCGTCTTCTGGAGTGGCCTGGGGCCACTTCAGAAATTTGTGAAGTGGCCCCTTTTAAAAATTATTGCCCACCCCTGCTCTAAGGCATACAACAGCAGAGCTCCTCGCTTGTGAAACTTACGAGGCCCTTGGTAAAAGGACTGAGCTCCTGTGAAACACCAAAAAGGTGCAGGAGAACCACACAGCGTTCCTACAGTTCACTGATGCAATGGCCCTGCCTCAATAGCATTTGGAGATCCAAAGGCAAACACCATATTCTAGAACAACTCCGCCATTGTCCTGAGCTCTCAAAAAGTCATGAAAACAAATTTTAATTCACAGGAGTTTGTCACTGAAAAATTTATACACAGGTATTTGTGACTAATATTTTCCTCTTTTTGGCTTCCATGACAGAGAAGAAAATATTGAGAAGGAGTAATGATAATAACTTGGATATCTTTTCAGTAGTTTGTTTTAAAACTACGCATAGATGAGATCATTTTAGATCTGTTTCTTCTGAAAGCTTGCACTATTAAAACTAAGAAACTTGCAAATAACAGGCGTCCAAAACACAAATGTTAGACATTGGCCCAAAATGTTACAAGAGTCATTTTTAAAGTAAGTAAGTAACAGGAGACTGCTAATTTTGGGGTTCACTTCAGACTTTTGCCCCCTCCCCCCCAAAAAATCAGTCCATACCTTTGGAGAAAGTAGTATAGTTTTGGTTGAGCTCATTCTTTGTTTCCATGACTAACAAGGTGATTAAACGCAGTTGCATTAAAAAAGTGAACACAACCTGTCCTGCACAACTCCATGGTGGACAAACATGATCTATTAACTTTGGCAACCTTGCTACAACAGTAACATTATGAATATGCGTGGGAGAGAAGAAAACCTGGGAGCAGAAAGACCAGCTTTGATTCAGATATAAAAGGCGGGGGGGAGGGGGGGGGGACACAACACACAAGAGCCTTCTGAGCAAAGAGAGAGAGGCCTGAGGCCAGAAATGGGCAATCCTGAAAAGAGATGTTACATTGCTTTGAGAATTCGAAGGACAAGGTGGGTGAAGTAATATATTTTACTGAACCAACTCCTGCTGGTGAAATAGACAAGCTTTCAACACAGAATTCTCCTTTAAAAGTTGGTCCAATAAATGATATTACCTCACCCACCTTGTCTCTAATATACTGGGACCAACACAGTCTACAACAACACTTCATACAACAATTGAGACTTCTAGTCAACAACAGACTACCTATCTATCTCCTAGAACTGGAAGGGACCTTGAAAGGTCATTGAGTCCAGTCCCCTGCCTTCACAGCAGGACCAAGTACCATCCCTGACAAATTTTTGCCCCAAATCCCTAAATGGCCTCCACAAAGGTTGAACTCACAATGCTGGGTTTAGCAGGCCAATGCTCAAAGCACTGAGCTATCTCTCCCCTTGAATCTTTAAAGGCTCTTCTTCCCCAGGCTTCATGTATACTAGTTCAACCGAGAAACACCGACAAAGATAAATGAGAGTTGGGGGAGGGAACATATTCCATTAAAAACTCACATGAGGGCAGCTGTTGATTGGAATGCACTGCTTCTTGCGACATTCTGTCTTGCCTTTCACACAAGCACAGATGGTGCAGTTAACAGAGGACCACATCTCTCCATCCTGCAGGAGAAAGAATATGATATAGCTATCAGATAGGATGGCGGAAAGAAGCTGTTCCAACAATGTATCATTTTCATTGCACAGAAAAACTCCAAAAGGGGAAAGCAGTGCTATGTCATTGTTTAGTCTAAATTATTATGAAATGCTCATCCACGTTCAGTCAGATTAAAGATAAAGATGAATAGGGATTTCTTTCCTCTAATCCTTCAGGTTAGAAACTCTTTCTTCCAAATTTCACCAAATTATGTTTCCTTTTCCTTGAATGACCTGATTAGTTACATTGTTTTGTTTTGTTTTTCTCACCAGTGGGATGTGATCATACCTATTGTAAATTTTCATTTAAGCTGACATAATTAGAAAAATCTGATTCATTGCCTTCAGATGACTGGCATGTTTAAATTATTGCATGTGAAAGCATTTCATTAAGATGTCAGAATGCAGTGACTTTATTCCCAGATCTGGCATCATTCTGAGCCCACAGGAATGGACAAACAATGAATTCTAATTCAGATTCCTTACAGTGTTTTAGCAGACACTTGATCTGCTAAGCATCTGAAAATGTTTAGAACAGGTATAATAGTGAACTATCCATATGTAGAGCGGGAACAGTATTCTTCCAGGAGACAGTCTTTGTCTCTAAAAAAGTAGTAAGTGGGCGCAGAATGCACTTCATAGCCTCATTTTTAACATACTCAGGAAATTATGGGGAACTGTCTTGGCTTATTTCTACATGCCTTTGCATTTGCCAAGTGCCGTTTCTAAAGCATTCCACCTCACCCACGTGCAGTCCTGTGCTAGCCTATGTAGAGACTAGACATGCAAGCATTCTGGTTACCGGACAGGTGAGGCAGAAGGGTGAAGGTCAAGCAGACAGAAAGACAGTAGAGGAGTCCAAGAAGACAAAAAGAAATTATGGATCCACCTACACTAGAGTTCCTGAGTAATGGGATCAGAGTGAAAGTAGGCTCAATTTTAAGTGGCAAAACAGGCTGATATTTTATGCACAGCATGATTTTTAATGGATGTTCTGCCTTATCTTATTTCCTGAAGTGATGCAGGACTGACTATCCATTTTAGTGAAGCATAACTTGACAGACTTAAGTTAAGCAAAGATAACAATCTACACACACAAAAGCAACTTATGTCTACTCTGCAGAGCTACCCTACCTCTACACAAGCCACCCATTATTTCAAAATATTTTTTGAAATAATGGGTGTGCTATTTCGCTATCCCAGTTAACCTTGTTGTATGAGGAATAAGGGATGGCTCGAAATATCATGTTATTTTGAAATCTGGCACTGCGTAGACGTGCCAAATTTCAAAACAAGCTATTTCAAAATAGTTTCAAAATAAGATACGCAATTTGCTTAGCACAATTTGCATATCTTATTTTGAGTTTAGGGTGCTGGGTAGACATACCCTAAAAGAAGATACAGCAGTTAACTACATCCAGTTGCCTAATTGTGATTTCATGCCTGTTTTATACTTCTGTAACTCCATTGACTTATTCCCAATAGTGGTTAAATAAGGCAAAAATAAGATCCAGTTCCCATCTATTCCCCCTTTTTGTGTCTTCGAGTTCATAATTGTTAGTAAAATAAATCATAAAAAGCCGAGTATTTCGTTTGGATGCTCAAAAGTATATATTTATATCTGAAATACAATAGTGCCACTGTTTAAGTCAAATGTAGTTTCTTTGAACCTATTAAGCACAGTGTTTGTTTATATATAATTTCCAAAATAAACATTTCATCTATGTACTAGTAAAACGGAATTAATGGAAAGCAATGTGGAATGAGTCAACTCAGTGTACTCAAGAGATTTCTCATTTGATCTGATTCTCTTAGCCAACCAAGTGACAAGAATCTGTTCCAATATAATGTGAAAGATGCACTCACTTGAAAAAAAACACACAGGGGCCCAGCAATATAAGAAGTTTTTTGCAAGAAATCATTACAGATCTGCAAATGTTGGAGGGGAAAGAAGGAGGAAATGTTTGCTATATGGCGCTCCAATGAGGGATGTTAGAAAGCACTGTCTGTAACATAGCTACGAACAGTAATGTATCCAGGACTTCTAGCTGAGACAAGCTTAGCACAATTCATACTGTTTCAACCTGGGGGAGGCTCCTTTTTGAGTTAGCTGATAATGACTACTGAGAAATACCATTTCTATGACTATCAGAATTTGTTTGGGAAAGGGCAGTATGAAGATTCTGTGTGGGGAGAGCGAGACAGCATGCTAAGTATAAGAGGAATTAATTTAAAAAAATTTCTATCAGCAGAACATACACAAACGAAAAAAAAAACCAGCATGTGGAAAGTTTTCCAAGCTGCTCTGTTGATAGACCCATAGAATCCAAGGACAGAAGGGACCATTTTGATCTTCTGGTCTTCCCTCCTATACAACGTGGTCATAAACCTTCCTCAGAATAATTCTTAGCACATATTCTTTAGAAAAAAATTCCAATCTTAATTTAAAAATTATGAGCAAGGGAGACTCCATTACAACCCTCAGTAAATCATTCCAATGGTTGATTAGTCTCACTATTACAAATGTACACCTGTTTGAAATCAGCATAATGAAAATTCTGCTAAAAAGCAAACCACACCACTAAGTTATAGTGATCCAGTGCCACTTCAGCTACAACAATGGTACCCACTATTGAGCCACACCCAAAACATTACCCGAAAGATCTTATTCCCGAATTTGCACACTTTCAGTTCCTCAGGAGAGACATATGAGACGCACTCCTGGCAGCAGCGTTCCTTGCTTTTATTGCATTGTCCAGGAGGCGAGCACTTCCTCTTACATACCACTGTAGAATTCTGAGCAAAAAGACAGAAGAACAACAAAGGAGACACTAACTGAGTAGGACAATGTTCATCCCCAGTCATAACATTTCTGTGTGCTGTGGTAACCTTTTTCACCCAATGCAGCTAATGACGATTTTGATCAGATCTGCTTAGAAAAAAAGATGCTACTGAATTCAGGGAATCTTTCAGAGTGTGTTCATTTAATAAGGCAAGCAGGGGCTAATTCTCCTCAATTTTCACTTTGACAGTCATATAAAATCTGACCATGTTGATTTGGCAGCATTTTACATTCTCTTTAACTGGATGTAAATGACCCTACAAGGTACTTAATAGTATACAGTCAGGCCTTGAAGTTTGCAAATCTTACAAATCTCTCTCCTAGGCAATAAAAAAATCACAGCGCAGGAATGTTGTTACTGACTTACCCTGCAGGTACACATAGTGCAATTATCATAAACAAAAGAGGATTCATTGTCATAAACATCACTGTGAAAAAGGCAGCTTCCAAATGGGAGGTCAAACACTTTCCTCTGGCCTGAATACAACAAAAAGAAACATAATGTGGTTAAAAGGATGCCATGTTTTAAAAATATATATATATATTACGGCTTATTATTCCCAGACAAAATTCACGTACAAAGTGTCATTTGCTATGTATTTCCACTATTCATTTAGCAGATATTAATCTGAGTAAAATCAAGAGGTTACTTATCTATAATTGGAGGTTCTTTGAGATGTGTCACCTCTATCTGCATTCTACTAAAGGTTTACACGTGCATACCTTGCATCTAGAGCAACAGATTTTGAGAATTCACGAATTTGAGAATTATGAGAATTTAGGTTCCAAGTATCAGAGGGGTAGCCGTGTTAGTCTGAATCTGCAAAAGCAACGAGGAGTCCTGTGGCACCTTATAGACTAACTTCAGTTAGTCTATAAGGTGCCACAGGACTCCTCGTCGCTTTTGGAGAATTTAGGTTGAACCTCTCTAGTCTGGCACCTCAGGATCTGACCAGTGCCAAACCAGAGAATTTGTTGAACCATGACCAGTCAATATTGTCCAGCAGCATTATCAACACTTCCACTGCTTACTGGGCTCTTAGAAGACATTTAGGGGTAAATTAGAGCTAACGAACAGCACAGAACACTGAGATCCAGGACAGGTGGCTGTAAACAAACTTAATGGGACCACAGGAAACTTGGTCACACCCATGATAAGTGGACATTCGGCTAACTAAAATCATGCCAGACTATGGATGTTTCTGGATCAGAGTGTGCCAGACTAGAGAGGTTCAACCTGTAGTAGTGTCTATTGGTCCATGCATGTGCCCTTAGTTGAGAGTAAAATTCTTACAGGAAACTAAATTACATAACACCAATTCATAGTTCATAGCAAAGCTGCTTCTGAAGTGACGAGCTGGAATGAAGACAAATGGAGGAAACTGTAGGGCCCTTTTTATAACCTTGCTCATGTGGAGGGAAACCCATTGTTCTAGCTCTGTGAAAGTATCTCCCAAAATGGTATTTGTCACATGAGCAAGTCACCTGTCCAATGTCCTTCTTAAGCAAGCAACCATTGCCTACCTGCTGGTCTGCAGGTTTACAGTAAAATTCCTCAGTTGTGTATTGCACCACTTAAGGTCCACTGTCAGTCAAGTACTCTGATTCGCTTGACTATTCACTCTTACACAATAGGTGAGCAAGACCTGTTGATACTTCTTAGAAGCAAATATTTGGAATACCAGTACACAGCCAATATTCATAACTTCAAATACAAAAATCATTCAGGCTTAAACAGAACCAGCTAAGCATGAGCTTTCAATAGACACCTTAGCTGGCCCATTTTGTACAATATTTGGGGCAAACACACAACAGTGAGTGCAACAATGTTATGCATGTTCACGCCAAAAATCCAATAATGTCACAATGGGTATTCACATCCCTAATTGAGGCCACCTGTATAACAAGCAGATTGTAGCCTTTACAACTGAGCATCACTAATATTTACTTTTATTGCCTGTGAAATATTTCTATGAAAGGCACTCTGCAGAAATACATTGCATTACATATATTATGCCTGTGAAAAGAACCACTCACCTAAACATTTGGGGCAACAGTGTCCAGAAGGAATGTGACTGAGATGCTGGGGACACGACAGAATGGGGCAGCCTTCTCGTACGCACTGTGTCCTGCCTCCCTATTAGAAAATAGGCTCAATTGGGGTGCAGGGAAAACCACACACATGCACGTACATCACACAGGTGACAAGTATTAGAGAAGCCTTATCAGACACAATATTTACCCACATATATTTCTATTCATACCGGGGACAGAGACTTTATCTCTGACTTTAGTTGCCATTAAATATTTCCTGTAGGTATTGGTGCTTTTCGCGCTGATAAACAATAAGCAAGTGATAGCTGTGCAAAGAGAAGTGCCTGGCTAACTGGTTTCTCAATATGGATGTGGGAAAAATCAAGTAGAATAAAATATAGCAAGTGAGCCTTTCTTGAGGTTACAGTAAGTTGGTAAACATTTTTTTCCCATTATTTTTCACTGCATGGGACTTCTGGGCTTCTCTTAGACAAGAAGCAGAGTTAAATAAGGAAAGTGAGAGAAGAATGGGCATTCTCCCAGTATTTTACTCCTTCAGGATTCCCAAATAGACACAGTCATTCATGAAAGCCCATTCTCAAGTCTAATTGTGCACACCCAACTCTGCACTATTCAAAGAATAAAGAACAGATAGACACTGACAGAGAGAAGGGGAAAGTGTGTGTTGACGGTCCAGGAGAAAGTAGAGGAGAAAATCAGAAAAAAGGCAAAAAAGACACAGCACAGAAAGTATAAGGATGGAGAAACCAGTTGAAGGAGAACAATCAATAGTATAGTGACAAGGGGGGGGGGGAAGAGGAGGAGTAAAAATAAGGCAAGGCTTGGTTCGGAGACGATTTCAAATGAAAAAGGCTCTAATGTCCTAGATGTCGTTCATGCACAAGGTAAGAAAAGACCATTTCTGTCTCAAAAAGTTTTCAGTTGAAACAATATCCTGGTTTTTTTATTCTAAAAGGAGAGGGGAGGTAGTTCCTGGGGATAGTAGGAAGTAGGGCAACCAGATAGGAAGTGTGAAAAATTGGGATAAGGGGTGAGGTACAATAATATTTGTCTATATAAGACAACCCTGAATATTGGGACTGTCCCCTTAAAATTGATCATCCTAGTGGGAAAGGGCTTTTTTGGGGGGCTAAGAATGAAGAGAAAGACCTTTCTCCAGTCAGTTGCATATCTCAAGTCCTCAACCTAAATGTCCTTCGCACCCAAGATTGGTATCCAGGTTTTTCATTTTTAAAATCTAATCTTTTTTTCCCCACAGATGGCCTACAAGACCCATAATTTAAAACGGAAGATTCAGCCCACAATATACTTATATTCCGGGATGCTGCAGAGAAAGAATTATGAGCAGCCATATGCATTCAAGAAGTTTCTCTCATCTCCCTAGAAACAAATGGAAAAAAAGCCATTCTTTTCAGAGTTCACGATTTGAAATTATGGTTCAAGACTCTACTTCCAAACAGTACAATACCATAATAAACCATGAGCAAACTTTCATGTAGCAAGAGCAGACTGATACTATTATGAAAAAATTAATGTCCTGTCTGTACCACATACTGTAACAAGATTTCAGATACAGAACTAGCTGACAAAAACATTTTTTCCATCTGTCCCAAGGGGTTCAGAGAAGTATCCAGAATGCACATGGCTATGGCTTGCTCATAATTCTTTCATCACAGCATCCAGGAGTACAGAGTTTACTGTGAGCTGAAACTGCTGATCTAAGTTATGGATCAGACAGGAAACTTTGACAAAATGAAATGAATTCCTTCACCGAAGACTCTGCTGCTGCCCAGGGAATAGCTCTTTAGGAAGATGCACAGGTGCAGAATGGGAGAATAAGTCTCACTCCGTGGCTCACAGACATGGTGCCGTCATTCCACTGAGGGGAAAATTCAGAGAAGACAGAACCCATCCTGAAAAGATAATGTTGTGAATGAGCAATTAGGGCCTGGAGTTCTTGATGAGACTAGAGAGGGGCACCCTGAAGGAAGGTTAAAGAATGTTCTAATAGCTTACTTGACCAGAGCCCTGCAATATGAAAGGTTCCCCTTCCCACATCCTTGCCTATGGATTTTTGTGTTCTGTATATATCATCCCCAGAACTGTTTTGGAGCCCTGTTTCTCTGACTGATCAAGGCAAAACTCAAGTTTCATCCTTCATCAAGAAACTCCTTTCTAGTCTGTTCTGTTCTACTTAAATGTTCATGCTGCTCTCATCACAGTGCATTGAAGAGTTTAGGTATATATACATTTTAACACAATGTGCAGTTCTGAAGCTAGGCTGTCAAGCCTGTCTATTGATTCACTAAGGGAGAGGGAGTTAATGCATTTTTGCTCATTCTACCTCAAATACAAAAATATTTCATCCTCCCTGCATTTGATTTATCGCTTCCTTGGTGAATCAGGAATGAAGACCCTAAAAAAGGAGAACCTCTAAAAACATTCTTTTCCTCCAGATCATCTCAACCCAAACTCATGTTTATTTACAAAATTATTGGCTGCTGCAAAGCCACAACTGGCAAACATCCTGAGCTTAAATCATATTGTTGGTCTGGCTGGATCTTAATGAATGGTGGGGGGATGCTATTATCCCCCCAAACACCTACAAGCACCCTTCTGAAAACCAGCCCTCCCAAAAGGTGTCACAATTTGGGTATCTAGAAATTGAAGCACCCAAAGCGACTAGCCTCTTTTGTAAATCTTGTTTTTAACTAAACATAACCAATAGATAAAACATCCCCTAGACCTCTGTGTAATAATCTATCATCAGGGAATCTCACAAAATGTTGTTCAGAAAAGGCTCTCAGCCACGTGCTTTCCACCAGACAGAAACAGCTTTTCATTTGATAACTAATGCTAAATGCGTACTTGCTTTGCCTTTTATTTATAGTTCCTTTGTGATCCGCACATTGCCTCCCGCACATTCTGCTCACCTCTTCTTTCCTTCACCCAGGAATTTTCTTTCAAACTGAATCATGTCTGTTTTTTGTCACATTGTTTCTGAATCCAGCTGTTATGCTGTTTAGATCCTAAGAGTGAAGTAACATTCCAGCTCTCTGGTATCCAAGATAGATATTCCAGGTTTGTATGTCATCATATGGTGTATGATCAAAAAGATCCTAAAACAAATTAGCCTATTTCATTTTAAAATAATAGTAATTCTACCTGGTCTTTGGCTATTAGAGGGCATTGGTGAGTTTCAAGTTTTAAGAAAAAATCAAAACCTGTGCGATGATATGATCTGGAACTTTATTCACCTAAAAATATATAGCATTACTTATCCTGAGTTCAAAATCCCAGCAGGGATTAGCTAGATATTCAAATAGCATGAAAAGAAGTTATGTACAAACACAATGGCTACGTCTACACTGGCCACAATTTCTGGAAAAGGGATGCAAATCAGGTAAGTCAGGATAGGGAAATCCGCGGGGGATTTAAATATCCCCCGCGGATTTAAATAAACATGTCCGCCGCTTTTTTTCCGGCTTGGGGAAAAGCCGGAAAAAAAGCGTCTAGACTGGCGCGATCCTCTGGAATAAAGCCCTTTTCCGGCTTTTCCCTGGTATTAACTTGGTGAACTAAAAATTCCTGCAGTAAATTACAAATTATTTTTCTGTAACAAAATCATATGGCTATCTCCACAATACAAGTCAGAATAGGGAAAATACTGGATGAATTAGATAAATTAGAAGTATTCCAGTCAGCAGGGCCTGATGAAATTCAACCATAGGGTATTAAAGGAATTAACTCAAGCCATCAGATCCCATGGGACTGAGAAAAGAGAAACATAGCATCTAACTTTAAATAGGGGAAGAAAGAGTATCTGCTTTATAATGGACCAGTCACTATAAGGCTATGTCTACACAGCAGTATTATTTCGGAATAACTGACACTATTCCAAAATATTATAATCTGCATCTACATTACAAGCAGTTATTTTGACATAATGTTGAAATAATGTCGAACTGGAGGATTTCTTACTCTGACTCCTGTAATCCTCATTTTATGAAGAGTAAGGGAAGTCGGAGGAAGAGTGCTCTAACTCGGACTTCCTGCTGTGTAGACAGCTCCAAAAGTCAAAATAAGCTATTTTGACTTAAGCTACACAATTGACATAGCTGAAGTTGCACAGCTTATCTTGGCTTTAGCCTAACTCTGATACCTGAAAAGAAACTCAAACGATTATTAGATAAATAATTTTAAACACCTGGAGAATAATGACGTTATAAACATAGTCAACACGGATTTGTGAAAAACAAGTAATTCCAAATCAACCTAATTTTCTTATTTAAAAGGATTATTGGCTGAGTGGATGAGGTGGGAAGCAGGAGATACTATTTATCTCAATTTTAGATGCTGATTCATTTACCATTCTTATACGCAAACCAGGAGAAAGTGTTCTAGATACTTCAAAGTAAGTGTTCAACTAGATGAAAGACCAGACTCAAAGAGTGATTATCAATGATTTGCAGTCAATATCTAGTGGGGTTTCACAGGGTCTGTTCTGATATTAAACAATATTTTCATTAATGAGTAGGATAATAGAATGAATATGCCTATATCATTTTCAGATACCTAGGAGGGGTTTCAAACACTCAAGGGAACAGTATTAGAATTCAAAAAGACCTTGATAAATTAGAGAATTGATCTTTAACCAACTAAGTGAAATTCAATAAAGACAGGTACAAAATACTTCACTTATGATAGAAAAAAGTCATATGCACAGTTACAAAATGGAGAATGACTGGTTGGTCAGTTTTTAATGCTGAAAAGGATCACAAACTGAATAAGAGCCAACAGTGTCCTGCAGTTGTGATAGAGGTATATAAAATCATGAGTGGTGTGGAGAGGGTGAATAAAGAATAAAGAAAAGTTCTTCATTAATTCCCATAATAGATGGACTAGAGAACACCAAATGAAATGAATGGGTAGCAGGCTTCAAACTAATAAAAGAAAGTTCTTCACACAGTGCATAGTCAACCTGTGGAACTCCTTGCCACAGGAGGTTATGAAGGCTAGAACTATAACAGAGTTTAAAGAGAAGTTAGATAAATTCATGGAGGTTGGGTCCATGGAGTGCTA